AAATTGAGTGCAAAAAATACGACATCATATGTGATACTTATAGAATGAAGGAACTCAAATGAATAAAATACCTTAAATTTAATGTCGATAGATAAACGTCTTAGATACCTAGAAAACATACATAATAACAGATGGATGCCATACGTTCAATATATTAAGTATGAAATGATATGAGTATACATGCATATGATCAAACAAAAAAAAAAAACCAAATTTGTTTTATTATATCTTATTGTATATTATTATTATTATTATGATTTTGATTATCATACCTTTAATTTACCTTGTAGAAACCAATCTTTAATAACCCTGATAAAGGATAATCAGAAAAAAAGTAAAATAGTCAACGGGCAAAAAAAAAAAAATTAAAACACTTAAAATATATGAATAAATTTGTGGTTTACATCTAGAGTTAAAAGAACAACTGTTTATTGATATTGTTTCCCTCTCCCATACGCTTCGATCTAAATAGAATAGAAGACTGTAGATACTATATTATGTCCAAGTAGATAATTGTTTTTTCCGAAGAAGCTTCTATTAGATTTGTCATGTTGTCATTTTCAATGATTAAAAAAACAAATTTCGATAGTTTGACAAAATTAATTAAACTTCAATTAAAAACTAAAATCAATGTGTTTTATCTCGATTTTCTCTTCCAAATCTACGATTTAAAATCCTAGAAAGACAAACATCTTTTTTACATAGTGCGTGCTATAATAATTATAAACTCTCGAAGGTCCATTCGATTCTCAAAGGAATACTATCATCATGCTTAAATACAACACTATTTCTGATTAAATATTTTAATTAATCAAATAATTAAAAAAAAATGTTCTCTATTATGCCAGAGTTATCGTTTTTTTCGCACGGAATGTTCTATTATGAACGAACGGCATATACCCGATAGCTAAAGGATAGAAGACATCAATTATAACATTGATATATACATGTATGATTATTTATTAGTTTTTCTTTTTCTCATATTATAAACAAGAATAAATGAATATATATACATATATATATATATATTACGAACCTATCGACCATAATACCAGCACGTATAGCTTGTGCTACACTTTTAAATTTTGGTTTGTCTGATGGACGTCGTTTAATAGTTGACATTGATCGAGTAAATGTCATTGCTAACCAATCTCGTACTTCATTTGGTACAGAATCTGGCTCAATTTCTGATAATGCACCATCGTCTTCTTCCATTAATCGTCTAAAATATAGAATATAAACATTATATCAATATGTCTATGTTATTTTTTTATTTATTGTTCATAGTCATTTTTTTTTCAATATTAACATCAATAACAAAACTGATAATAGTAGGCGTTAAAAGTGTTATTGTTTGCTTTAAGGTAAAAAAAAAATGTATGCTAGAATGATTGAATATATAAAGATGTATTTATATAAATTCTTTAGAAGAGGAAATAAAGTAACTTATATAAAATGCAAAATTCAACTATGCAAAATTTTCTATAATACAATAAGTACTATTTTTATACCTTGTTTCATCTTGATGAACAGCTTCAAGAACATTTGCTACATAATCCAAATTTTTGACAAGATCTTCTTTACGTACAAGTATATTACAATGAAAAGCAGCAATTATTGTTCGTAATCTATAGATATAAAATGAAATATATATATATATTGTTGATAATTTTCTTACCTATCACTGCCAAGTTGTAATGCATCAAATGAATCAGGTTTTGGTAAATTAACTGTATAACTTAAACCAGCTACATCATGTTCAATAAGATCATATGGAGTATCGGTATCATCACCTTCATGATTACTACCAATACGATGTTTATTACCACTTGATTTTGATTTATTGGAAAAGATCGGCGATAAATTTTCTGATAAGAACATCATTATTATTATTATTATTTTTTTTTTTTTGATAAGAAATAAGAATAATTCAATTATCTTGAATTTAAGAAGAACTGTAACTAATGTTTATTGAAATAATTTTTTTTTTTTTTTATAGTTCTATTCAATCAAGCTTTTTAGAATAGTAGTAACTAATGAATGTCGAGAGAGAAGCAAAACAACTGACATAGCAGACAATTCATGTTTGCATTCTATCTCTTTAATAAAGAGAGAACGACAGAATATTTCCATGCTGCTATATATATATATAACAACATAACATAGACTTTTATCAATTGTCATGAATGTCATCAGTCAAAAAATTATACTCTATCATCAATAGACCAACAACAATGAATATTCATCACATCTCTTGGACAGATAGATCGAGTTTTGTCTGAAGTAGTTATAATTCTGAACAAACCTTCTTTATCATAGTTTTTTTGTTTACATAAGAAGAAAAAAAAAACAACTAACCATTATCATTATGTATCACTCTTGTTGTAGCTGATGTTTTAGATGATCTTGTTGCATGATGATGATGATGATTATGTGGTTTTGTTTTCGATGCACTCGATACTAAAAAAGAAAATATTTAGATAAAATTAAATATAAAAAATAAAAAATAAAAAGAATAACACTATCGATGATTTTTTTTTAATAAAAATCTGCTCAAACTTACTTCGATAACGTTTCATCTGATCTAAATTTTTGTTGAATTGTGACATGATGTTTTTCTTTTCTTGTGTTGAAATAAGTCTATTTATCTAGTGGATGACAAGATGTTTGAATATACTAACAAGCTATTTTTTCTTTTTGGGTAGAGAGAGGAGGCAATGTAAGTAGAAAGTATGTTCGGAACCCCGCGCGAGAACTCCAAGATTAGTTAGAGGGTAAGATAAAGCATATTACATATATAGTGAAAAATTTCAAATAAATTTTCTCATTCTGCTAGATAATAATGATGTATTTTCAATTAATGAATAGGTCTTACACCCCTTCCTCCCACTTTCGCGTGACTTGAATACGTTCATTGTATAATCATGTTCATCCTAGCTTCGTCTGATAAAAATGAAACAGAGTAAGATGAAACTAATCATGTTTCTATTTTTGTTTTCTCAATAAGTGTTATATATTAGCGATTCTCGATAATCTGATTTACTATCTATTCAATTATATGTTTCTTTTTGCTTTAAACTAATTCTTAGATAAATAAAGATTTACTAGATAATTATAAAAATTTCTTATATAGAAAATTCTAAAATATTTCTTTTTTTTCTGTCTTAATAAAAGATCTATCGTTAATTATATATTCAAATGATTTTTTTTTTTTTCTAGTTAAATATTATTTAATACAAAATAATAAAGATCTATGGTTACTATCTATTTCTTTTTTTGTTGTTGTTTATATATTCTTTGATCATTCAACATCATTTGGATTATTATTGTTAATAGAATTAAAAATAAAACTAGTCCATCGTACCATATATTTTCTAACATAATTACTAATGGATCAAGATTATTCTACAAGGTCTTTTTTTTTTTTTTCATAAATAACTACCAATAATAAATAGATTTCTAGAACAATATTCAAAAGATTGAAGATGTCAAAACAATGCTCAAATTACGTTTGAAAGATATTGTTTCTCTTCTTTTTTTTCCTATTTGGATAAGATATTCTTTCGAAAATTTTGTATCATTTTATTTGCATTTTTATAATAATAATAACTTGCAATAAACAAAAAAACATGTTGATTCATCATATTATATATGTATGTGTTGAGTAGATTTAGGCTGAGTAGATATGTTTTATATGATGGAAAAAAAAAATAATTACTATCTTTTCAACATATTCAGAATAAATATAGGATTTGTATGAGTTCTTGTTAATAAGGAGATTCTTAAAAAGAGAATCTTGTTTCTTTCTTTTTTTTTTATTCTTTCCCTTATACATTTTAATTATCCTAGTATAAATATTGCTGCAAAAAAAAAATCTATAATAAGTGAGCCTGATGACAACTTATTAAGACTAGTTGAAGTATGACATTGGCCTGAATTTTATGACATCATTTATTTATAAATATTGACCATGATACATCAATACCTTTGATTGTTTTAGATGATAGATTTGTTAATGAAGTACCAATAATAATAAGTGATGAACCAGATGTCAATCGAATTTTTCGACCAGGCATTTTTTCTTAATATGCATGAATCACAAACATATATAAATATATGTAGAAAATAGATATACTTGTTTCTTTATAAAAAAAAAAAAAGAAAAAGAAAAAGAAAGAAATGAACTACATATAGTAAAGAGATCTTTCGTGTCTATGAAAAATACTCACATTTCACTGATGATCAGCACTAGATAAACAAGTGGGAGGATGAGAAGGTGATATAGCAACACTGCATTCTATGAATATAATCTTTTTTCTGTTACACGACGATGATGATGATGACGTTCAACTCAGATTTGCCTAATAATAATGATGATCATGCGAATAGGATTTTTGAAGAGAAAGTAAGAAAAAAAAAAAAAGAAGAATAAGAAAAGATTTATTTTTGTGCTCATCAACATCTTTCTTGTAGCAATAGTAGTAACGATGACTACCGGCACTGTTTGGCAGCTATTACTCTTTCGTCTTCTTCTTCTTTCTTTTCACCTTAAGGATATGAGAAGTATTACAATTATGACAAGAAAAATTAGAGAGAGAGAAAAAAAAAAAAGACGGACTAGAAGAAAAAAAACATAGTGTATTAGCATGAGTGAGCAGTACGACATACTAGTCAAACCAAAAATAGATAAATATAATGACCAAATTAGCATACAGAAAACGTAAAGAAGTTTAGACATACCGTTGTTTTTCTTTCTTATAGATTAAACAATTTTATACTAATTCAAGAGCATATTATTTTACAAATGAAAATATTTATTCAAACTACTAGAAAATCTTGTTGTTAACATGTAAAAAAAAAAAAAGATCAATCTTATTTCTTTTTTTGTATTCATAGGTTAAATTCAATTCATATTTATAAATCTTCTTATATTGATTCAACGTTTTTGTTTCTTTATACAAATTCCAAAAATAAGAACCAGCGCGCACACACACAAAAAAAAAGCATGTCGTGTAACAACAATAATGATAGCAAAAAAAAAAAAAACTACACAAACTTCACATTTACTAAAGATAGAACAGCACCAATATACACCATCGGTGACTTTTTTTTCTTTCTTTTTTTTTTTGTTTTCGTAAGATATCGTTCAATGGACGGTATATAGAATATAAAAAACAAAAAAAAAAAACAAACAAACAATTGAAAAATTAAGATTCACTAGTTGTTTTTGTATTTGAATAAATATTTCGATGATTTTTTGTTGCTTCTTTTGTTAATGACTGTTCATATTTAAATAATTCAGCAAGTGTTACATTATTTGATATATAAGTTTTATTTTCTAAACGAGGTGAAAGACGAGATGCAGCCATATTTGCTCGTGCTAATCGAATAGGTGTTTCACTAAATAAGATTTTTAATTATTAATTTCTTTTTTATTTATTTATTTATTTATTTATTTTTCTTCTAACAATTAAATATGTTGTTTTGTTATTTCTGGTTTATTTTTCAAAAAAATAATATATGTCATGCTAGCGAGCATCATGCAAAGAAATTACGTTATCATTAATTTACCTGATTTTACATACATAGAGTAAGAGGAAAAAAAATTTATGAACTAAAATTGGAGAAATATATTATTTATGTGTCGATGATCAACATGGATGAATGCATTCAAATTTTTTGAAATGAATTTAAGTATAGCTTTTAATATATATATTTTACGGTTGTAAGATAATGTGTTTTTTTTTTGTTGGATATATCATGAAATATTTAATAAGGAAAAAAAAGAAAATAAACACAGTTTGAAGAATATCTTCTTATTTGAAAGATTGCATTGGTTTATTAATATTCTATAGCTTAAAGTTGAACATAGAACAATTTTTCTCTGTCGTATTCTGCTACAGGGAAGATCAAGTAGGATAATAAAAATACTTAATTTGATTTTTCAATCATCAAAGTATATATTAATTCAACACAGTGTTTTATCTTGATGTTCTCTTCCGGAAGGATGAATATCTATTTTTAGCGAACATGAACATATAGGACGTGAGCAAATAATTACAAACTTCGGACGAACATCTTCCTGCATTACAATAGAAGCATGAGTCGATGTAAGAGAAGACCTTCGCACCTTCATTTGCAACTAGTGTTGTCACTTCTTCTGCTTTTTTAGATATTTTATCAATTATATTTTTAATCAACATGTGTTATATTATACTATATCATTTCTTTTTTTGTTAAATGTGAAGGAAAATTCTTATCATTATCTAATAGCAGTTTTGTCTTATCCTTCCGATGTCGTATAGAACGACCCGTAAACGACTATCCTTACGATGATCGTTTATGTACCAGTGGAAATTACTGTCGTTATGACCGCCATTTCACACTGGTTTTTTCATGGTACTAACACAAGTGTCTTAAAATCATCATTAGATACTTTCTAAAATGATCTATAATCGATTGGTCACTACCTATTAAAAAAAAAAAATTAATAATATTTTTTTTTTAATTTAGATTCCTTTCATCATCTAGTCCAATACTAAGTATTTTATTTAAATAAACAAATTTTGTTTCTTGTGTTTATGAAAGATGAGGAGAAGAGAAAAAAATCATGTTCCTCTTCACGAAAAACAGATGTATACGAATAAGATGACAAATGATGTTGTAGTGCTTGTACTAGGATAGTCGATAAATAGAGTTGTAAACGAGGAAAAAAAAGTCGGTGTAAATAAGACTTATTGAAAGTTATTAAATCAGATGAAAAATACATGTTCAAAAGAAAATTTATCCAATAATTCTATTTTTATGTTTAATTAAATTTTTTTTCTTGATTTTAGTACAATAAAGATTGGAAATTGTTGTGAAATTTTCTCATTAATTTAAAACTTAAAAGATTGTTTGATATCAGAAATGTACTTTCTATTTTTCGAACATCAAAATGTGGCAACACTGTTCGCATTGATTCGATTCTAAAAACGACGCAAATCGATCCTATCTTTAGTATGTCTTATGTCAAAATTGTAAAAAAAATTATATTAAATATAGGACTAATTTCTTCATCGTAGTGGTATTTGTCTTTGTCCGATACTTAGTTATATTCTAGACGAACTCTTAAATAAATCTTGAATAATATGTTCAATTGTAATCTTAAACTCATTGTTAGATTAATATTAATATTCAATGAAAGGATAGGAACACATAGGTGATCAAATCGACTCACTAGTACTTTTCTTGGTCAACTCTATTAAATCATATATCAACGGAAAGAACATGTTGAAATTAATTTCATGATGTTTTGATCAAATTTTTAAACCTAAAAGCTATTAACAAAATAACTTATTTTTCGTTATTATTCTAATAGTTCATTCTATCATGATGGATTCAATTTGAGAATAAGCACGCAAATAATATTATAAATTTGACGGCTCTTTGATGGTGCTTTAATTCCATATATGAATTACTAATTGGCTGTTTGATTTAATGAGCTCTAAGAGCGATGTATTGGTTAACGCTATTAACATATATACTGTATTTATCATTCATTCTTATCTTTTACGAAATATTTTAATTTAAACGTTTTTGTGTTTTTTTTTAATTAATTTTTGAAAGATTTTAATCATAAAAAGTTCAATTTGAGTGAAAACTAATATGATATTCGGAATCAACACAAAAAAAAATTAGTTAGTCTACGTGCGATTTAAAGAATTTCAAGAACTTTTTGTTTTCGTCGAATACTTTCCGTCTTGTCTCCCTCAGAGATTAGATAAAGAATAAACTTTTTGACAATCCTGCTTTTATTTTCTAGATATCCACCATTTTGTCATCTAGCACAAATTTCGAGGTTTTCTTATAATATTCAAATAGCGTTTTGATGCAATTTATTTTTCATCCAGACTCTGAGAGATGGGACCACGGATAAATTTTTCAACAAAAAAAAAGTGTTCATGAAAACACTTCAACTAAACATAAGTGAACTCTTTTTTAATGCTGATTTCAAATTTATTAGTATTTTTGACTAAAAATCTTGTCAGAAAGACATAAAATCATTTTAAATGAATAATATGTTTGTGATTGCTCACGTGGTCAATATTCGTTGAGCTTAAAAAATCTATACTCTTGTAGCGTGTCAGGTAATATATAATCAGTTACTATAATAGAATCTTATGGATCTCCAATATTCGAGCAACCAATGATCAGTAGCGAATTTTCAACGTATATCCCACTGTTCGGTAATAAATTAACGAATGAAAGACATTGATAAATTGTTTTACTAGATTTTTTTCGTGTAGTAATTAGTGAACAATTGAATGTTCTGTAGGGAGCTATGGATCCTTTCAGACCCAAACAGGTCCAGGACCAAAGTTTTATTTTTTTTGTCGGGTCCAGGTCCGTAATTTTATTTTATTTTGAATTTGGGTCGGGTGTGTGTCTAAATTTTAAACCTTGTTTAATGTTCTGTCTAATAAAAGTAATATTACTGTACAAAGTTATTAACAAGTTATCTTATAATATCAATAACACTTTCGATAATGAGAAACTAGGGCTAATATTTCTGGTCTTTATTACTCTAGACATTATCGAATTGATTTGAAATTACTACCAAACGATTCAGCGTTAAATTTCGCAAATATTAATAATCTAAGTATTATGCAGATACGTAGTCTTATGTGCTAGCATCTTTTGATCGAAACTTTATGAAACTAATATCAAAATGTTAGTCTTAACATACTCTTTCTGTTGATATATGATTCAATAGAATTGGCTAGAAGAGTACTAGTGAACTGATTGAATCACTTATGTGTTCCCTTGTCACTATTTCTTCAGTGCATTTAAAATATTTTGATTTTTGTAAGAAAAACTTCTTATAATACTTTTTGATCATGCAAGAAGGAAGAGAATGATAAGAAAATCTATTAATATTATTATTATTATTATTATTACCTATATAATAAACTTTCTCTTGCTCGTTCAAATTGTGAAGCTGATTCTGTATGTAATTGTTGTGAATCTTTAACAAGTTTATCCGTTTCATCTAAAATCGCTTGTTGACTTTTACTTAAACCTTCCATATTTGATAAATTTCCATTATTTTGATTATTTATTTTTGTTGAATAATCATATTGATGATTAGTTGTTGATATAGGACAAAATGTCGTTTTTGTTCGATAATTTTTCCGAATTGTTTCATTATTATTTTCTTGATAATTCGAAGAATGTGTTTGATGATCAGTTATTTTTAATGGAGTTGATGTTAAAAATGAAACATCAAGTAAATGTGGATGGCGGGCTATAGTATCATGTATAGGTGTAAGAGTTAAATTTTCAGCACTTGTACTTAAAAACGATTTTAATCGTTTATTATTATTATTATTATTATTATTTATTGAACGTGGTGTATATTCATATGTTGATACCTGATTTATTGTATGATTTTCAATAGAAGATTTTTTTAATTCTAATTCATCAATTTTAATATCTAATTGTTTTTTTGAATCTTCTAAACGTTCACGATAAACAGCTAAATGCTGACGTGTTAATTGTGTCATCTCTTCTTCATATTGATGCATTTTTAATTTTACTGTTTCATTATCAATTGTTGTTGAATCAAATGAAAGTGAACGAAGAAGAGCATCTAAATATTAGATCATAAAGATTTCATATACAACAAAAACAAAAAAAAAAGATCTAACATCCAAATCTTAGTTGAATATCCAAACTTATGATATTACAAAAGAAAAAAAACATGTATTTATCAGTCAATGAAAGAGAATCTTATCGATTAGTTACTAAATAAAAAAAACATCTAGGAAAAATACAACTGAAGATTGATCAATTTTAAAATTCTAATATCTAATTTTGAATCAAAACATGGTGACTTACAAGACAATTTTAGCAAATATTCAATCTAGAGATAAGCGAGACTAACGGTTTTTGCTACCGATCTCGGTCTCAGTCAAAAAAATTTCGGAATCGAGAAAATTTGATTCTACGTGGCTTCAGATATATTCTCACGGTTCAATAAACATTAGCACACGTTCGTGCACTAACTATACTAAGCCGATGATGTTGATGGTCAGTAAACTGAAAGTGTATGTACCTTAATTCTGACTGTAGTTTTGTTTTTTTTTTGAAAATAAAATTGATTTACCTGTTTCTCCAATAATATAATTTAATTTTGCTTCTGTTAATTCTACCCATATATTTGATCGAGTCCAATTTAATGAAAGTAAATCAAGTATATGAGCTCGTTCACGACGTAATTGTAAAATTTCTTGTTCAATATTATTTGTTGATATTTTTAAATTTGAATTTATTATTGTTGGATTTTCAAATATAATATTATTATTATTATTATTATTATTTAATGTTGTATGTCGTATAATTGAACGTGTTGTTAATTCAGATATATCTTCACTATCTGATGATGAACTTTTCATATCAATTTGTAAAGCTAAATTTGATTTAATACGATTATTATCATCAACAAGTATACCAGAATCAGAACTACGTTCAAGTGTTGTTGGATGTATTAATATTGTTCGAGAATGAAAATTATCTGTTGTTTGTATTCCATCTTGTGTTTGTAAAAAACCGGGTATTTCATATGATGATACTTGTGTATATGTTGTTCTTTTTTCTAAACAACATTGTAAATTTTGATCATGAGTTATTAATTGTGGACTATATTGACATGATTGATCAACTGTTTGACGAATTGTTATTGGTGATGTACTTATTGTTTGAAAATGTTTTTCGAAAGGTAATGTTATAGGTGATAAAGATATATCACGTGTAGATTTTTGTTGTCTATTTGAATCAAAAGAATTATATTCAATATGATGTAATGGTGAATTATTTATTGATTGTTGAACATGTTTTATTGGTTTAAATGGACTACGCCATGATGTACTACTACCATTAATAATAGTATGATCATGCCATGAATTGAATACTTGAATTTTATCATTTTTTAATGCATGAGATGTTTGCATATGATATTCTTCAAATTCATTTGAAATAGGAAGTGATGATGAATCACATATAGATTGAATTTTTGAATTATCACATTGTGATTTTGAAGAATTATTTGTATAAACAGAACCTTGTGTTATAACAATTGATTCACAAATAGAACTAAGCATTGTTGATGGACCATCTATATCAATAGAGATCATATCCGACTAGAAAAAAAAAATAAGATGATTATTCTTTCTTCTTTCCTATGGGGGAAAAAGAACCTATTAGCGCAATCCTTACGGGATTAAAATGTGCAGGACGATGTAGCTCTCGTTGTTAATCACAGGAGGGTTGTTTTGTTCTCTCTACTTTGAAACTTTTAACTTTTTAACGAAAAGAACTGAAGAACTGCAGTTTTCAGCATTCAAACGAGGACAGTGAAAGAGGGAGGGGGAGGAACATAGACCCATGTAAAACTGAAAAATTTTCCGGTACTTTCCAGATTAACTCTAGCGATGAATCACTTCGAACAGTTGCCTTGTTAGTCTTCGAGAAATACAATAAGAAAGTAGTTCGAGACATTATTGATTATGGTCTTCGATTGTATATCAACCAGGTCGATCAGAGAAGGCGGATGTAAATTTCTACCATATATACTTGAACACTTCTATTAGATTATATTTTAAAAAGTCAAGTAAAACTATCCTACTTTTCTAGAGAACATCTATGACCCCGAAAATTTTTTATTTAGTTTCAAAATTCTTCCTATATATCCAAAATATGAGTTTAAAAACGGTAAATTATTGTGAACAGTTCGGAAATATTTATAATACAAACCTCATCAAAATGTTTTGGATTAGTTCCAATTGTTGGTACTTCAATATCATTAGCTGAATGTTGAAAAGTTTTATCTTCTTGTATTGTATTATTACCATTTGTATATAATACTGAACTAAATGTTTGATTTAATAATCGTCGTTCTTTATGTGGTAAACGAATATGTGGATCACGTTCTTTAATATCTGTTCCAGTTTCAATTCGTTTTGTTAATATAACACGTTGATCAGTACCTTGTCGATCAATATAACCAATTTTAAAACCTTTACCTTGTTTAACTATTTCTAAATCAGATACTTTATCAATAGAATGATTTTGATAACGTATTGGTTTAGTTGTTGTTGTTGAAGAATATTGTTGTTCTATATTTAATGGTTCATGTAAAACAAGTTTTTTCATTGATGTTATTTTTGTATGATTTATTTGATGAATATCATTAATTATAGATGTTAAATGTTCAATATTAGATTTAAAATTTTCTTGTTGATTATTAATAAAATTAAGATTAGGTATTATTTCTTGTTTATTTGATAAATCTAATTGTTCTAAACGATGAACAAGTTCATTTGGATCAAGATAAATATTAGATTGTTGTTCAATTAATAAATAATCTTGTTCAATAATTTCATGTTGTTTATTTTGATCATTATTTTCAATAAAATTATCTGAATCTAAATTTTTTTCTTCATGTTCATTAATTAATGAAATAGTAGGTTCAATTTGATCTGTTACATATGTTTCTTTATGATTTAATGATTCTAATGGAACAATTGTTATTAAATTATTTGAAAGTTGATTTATAGATAATAATTCTTCTTCATTTTTATAATCAAGACAAAGATCATCATAAAATATTGGTTCATCTATACATCGTTCCCATGCATCATGATCAATATCAGAAAAATTTACAGATTTAAATTCCTATAAATGAAATATAAAAAGATTATGTAGAATCAAATGTTTGATTAATCGAATTACTACCAGATAAAACGTATCTGAATGTGAATTCTTTAATGTAAGAGCTACAAGGCAGAGTTGTAACCGGTCTAAAATTTTCAGACTGGCTCGGTCCGGCCGGTTTCAAGAGTTTTTGTAGACCGGTAAAAATCGGTCGGTCTTACACAGTAAGATTAATTCGTTAAATGCAGTAACATTAAGAACAACTAGCTTTTCTTTGATTTCCCATTATCTTTGACAGTCTCAGAGAGAAAAAATCGTGCCAGAGTCACTTATAACTTTGAGATTTCCTAAAGATGAATATATGATGTTTCTTCAGCATCAAAAAGAGTCGATCTATGCAACAACTTTCTGCCAGACGTCAAGTGTTGAAACCTTCTGCTAAAATTTCTCGAAAATACTTAATGTTTCTCTTATATTTACTCTTCAATCTCAAATACGATCAGAAATAAAAACATCGATGAAGTTATATTTGGAAATAACTTTTGACTAACATAATTTGATTGTGCTTTGTTCACATTGAAGTTTAGTTTGATTCAAGAGATAAAGAGGCATAGGTAAATATACAAATAAAAGACTGATAGTTTCTGAAATATCATTGTTCGTTTTTTTTTGATAAACATATTGAAATTCGTTCTCGACATAGTTCAACAGAGGAAACTGTAAATAGAAGAAAAATTTTTTAAACCGGCAAAACTGGCGAAAACCGGCCGGTTTATCTGATTCAGCTGGACCGGTAAAAACTGGTAACAACCGGCCGGTCTAACCAGTTCAACTGGTCCTGCCCGGCACCGGTCCGGTCCGGATAGACCGAATCGGTTTTGCCGGCCTGATTACAACTCTGCTACAAGGCCAATATAGGGTTTTTTTCTGTTCAGACTAAGATATTTCAATCATAGATGAAAGTGGTCTAATGGTAGACCGATATCGGACTGATAGATCGGTCGGCTTTAAATCGGCATCAGTACCGGACTGCTACTATCACTTCTAGCTATGATTAAATGTGTACAACAAAAAATTATAGAACTAAAAAACAAGTTAAATCGACAACTATCTACAGATCGGCAGTAAGCCGTTAAATTGGTAGCAGACCATTAGGGCGACATATAATGATTGTCCGTCAGAGATGGATATCGAACCGGTAGATCAGCCGGTTATCGGTATCGGTTCCATCTATGATTTCAATATATGCAATAAATCTCATTCGAGACCTCAATACTACTGAGAAAAATTTCATCTCAAACGATCGTAGTTTGCCTGATTTAAGAAGTTATCTTTGAGCACTCTTAACATGAGTATTGATGGGATTTGTGAACGAGTAACTTGTAATTTCAACTATTTTCAATCATTCGCTTTGAAAATTTCAGAATTCTAGCTGTAGGTGTAGCAAAGATTTCGACGAAGATCATCCCAGATAATGGAAACGATAATGTGTCTTAGGATCACCGCAGATTAGATTCTCCTATATGTGACACAGTAAATGCATGCGAAGCTTTCAAATCAGAAAAGCCTTTTCGTTTTTGAGACTCAAGAAAAAATCCTGTATTGGTATTCTAAATTCGATGCCTTAAGGATTGGTCCTTGCGATTAGACATTTACTGATCTCTACTTGTAGAGGAAAATTACGAAATTTCGACTGAAGTTTCTGCCGTTTTCTATTCTCGAAACAAACATTTCCAAACAAAATGATATTGTAATCATTAATTTTTCTATAATGTTTCTATCAATAATAAAACTTTTAGTAAAAGACACATTGACATCTTTGAAGTTCATTCATTTCAAGGCTTACAGAAGATGATGTAGCGGACCTCGACAGGCTCTATGACACAGTCAATCAAAAGACAGTAGAATTAAACTATATGAAAAGCTTCTATAATGAAAATAAGAAATTAGCACACAAAATCAGTTTCAAATGGAATACGATCTAATCTGCCATTTCTAGATCTATTAGTTCAAGTACTTCCATTCTGATTTTATTTTCCGACTCTTCAAAGATTCATTCATTCATTCATTCGTAATCTATGAGTCTGACAAAAATTGTAAACATATAGAGTGACTCGAAAATAAAAAGAAACTATCATTAATATTCATATTAAATAAAATTCTTTACCTGATTTTGTTCTGGTGATAATGGTTGACTTTTTATTGATGAAAGTGGTCGTGATTGTGGTGAAGAAAAATCTGATCCAATAACACCATGATCATCATCACTTATATGATTTTGATAATTATCATCAGAATTTTCTTTATTTAAATGATGTCCATGTTCAAATATATCATCACTATCAACACTTGATGCATATTGACTTGCTCTTGAACTTGGTATTGTTGATAATGAATGTGGACGAAATAATGATAATTCAGTATATGTATCATGTATTTGTACAATAGGTAAAATATTCTCTTCATTATCATCATTATCATTAAATGTAACAGCAATATTTAATGGTTTATTTTCAATTTCAATTGTTGGTTCTAAATCATCATATTCATCATAATCATCATCATTATTATTATTATCAATTTGATTTGTAAAATTAAAAATATAATTTAATGATTCTTTAGGTAGTGATGATGTTAAAGAATTTTCATTTGATATTTGTTCATGTTCTAATGATTGCATACTTTCAAGATCAGATTGTATTGATATTGATATTAAACGATCAGCAAATGGTTCTGATATATCAGCACCTTGTAAAAGACCAATATTAACAGAATTATTTATTGATGATGTTGATATTGGTTGTTTCATTAATGATGTTATATCAAATGATTTTGATTTAATTTTTGTTATTGATTTTTGATTTGTTTTATTCATAATAGAAAATATATCATTATGACTATGAGATTTTTCAATTGATGAATGATTTATATTTGTATATGAATTTGATAAACCAATTATATGTCGTAATTTATATTCATTTAATTCATTATCATCTTTATCACTAAATGTAACATTAAGTAATGAATGCCAAATTTGTTCTAATATATCATATGTTATATTTAAATGTGTATAAGCATCAAGTGTTGTTAATGAATATGAACGTTCACGTAAAGGAAAATTTATTAAATTAGAATTTAAATTTGGACATGAATGACATGCATGAAATGTTGTTTGTGGTGAATAATAAAATTCATCTTCATTATCACCTATTATTTGACTTTGATGAACAATACGAACATGATTATTATTATCAATTTCAAAAGATTTTTCAATTGTTGTTGAACTTGATTTTTCTTGTGGTAACCATTCACAATTATACTGTTCAGTTAGATTAATTGTAGCTGAACTACCGAATGCTTTATAATACATTCCTAGGAAAATCAATGATATATAAATTACTATCGGTTATTTTTTGAATAAATTTTCATAGAAACAACATAGAGAACTGCGGTTTTCATCATTCAAAAGAGAAAACTCTAACGTATAGTCACATGCTGAAATTTGATTAGCTAGTAATTGATCAATCAAATTCATTCTTAGTAGGCATTTTAAAAATGATATTCTGAATTCATTTCTTGATTGTTAATATGACCATTCTATAGCAAATATTGTTCTCTTTCAGTCTATGCAAGGCCGACATTCCTAGGTTGTTCCGTTCAAGAGTTATTTAGCTTTTTCTGAGACTCCCGATTTCAACCGATTGATCCTGAAAAGCACCTATACAGGGGATAGTTCATCATACTAAATTGAATGGAGATATTTGTTTTTAGGTTCCAACTGATCTGGCACTATTATCTCGATATTTCCGAAATGTCACAATCTGTCTCTATCTAATACAAGGAATCAATATTTCAGAAACATTGAGATAACAATGTCAGATCAGTTGGAATCGAAAAACCAATATCACTATTCGACTCAGCATGATGAATTACCGTCTATATAGATGCTTTTCAGGATCAACCGATTGAAACCGGAAGTCTCAGAAAAAGCTAAATAACTCTTGAACAGAACAACCTAGGAATGTCAGCCTGGTATAGATTGAAAGAGAACAATGTTTCCTATAGAACAATCATATTAACAATGAAGAAATAAGTTCAGAATATCATTTTTAAAATGCCTACTAAGAATGAATCTGATTGATCAAATGCTAACCAATCAGATTTTAACACCTAGCTGTGTGTTAGAGTTTCCTTTTTCGATCGGTGAAAATCACAATTCTCTATCTTATTCCTATCATAAGTTATTCAAGAAACAATCGATGGCCTTGTATTTTGCCATAGATTGTAGTGTATGTTACATATTAATAATTAGAGGTAAAATTTGATACGAATAATAAGTAGTCAAACGGAAAAACATTTTCAATTGGCTAATCATTTTCTTCACTAAAAGCTACTCGATTATAGATTATTGACTATATTGATTTCGAAGATGATTATAAGAAAATCATTCAAACGATAAACTCGCGATCTACAAGGAATGTTAAAGTATATTGGATTCCCCAGACATTATCACAGATCGTTACAATATATTAACTACTTCATTATTGTATTTGTGGAGGATTAAGTAAAAGAAAAGGGAAGAAATATATTCTGAGACCTATAGAATAAAACAAACTCTCTCTGATTAGCAACAACAGCTATATGATATTTCATATTTTAATCCCAGAAGGATTGCACTAACAGTTTATTATACTATGTCTCATAGTTGTTCAGTCAAGAGATAATAGAAGAGAGTGAGTACATGAAATTTTGTCAATATGCTCTCTGTGCTTTTAATGATTGACAAAAGTCTGACAGACTTTCATCGTTGGCGCATGTCCTTTTGACGAAATTCCTTCCATCTACCCAAGCAGACAAAAATTTTGAAAAACGTGTTTAAACGCACAATCGAGAACCGCGACTGTTATCCATTTACGTTCATTAAAAAACGCACGAAACCACGTTTTTCTTGCAAAATAGTCACTTTTGGAACATGACAAACGTTGAAAAATTGAAGAACTAAACGTTTAAACACGTTATTTCTAAACTCCAGAGAAAAAGAACGGTTTAACACAAAAAAAAATTGAAATTTTCCACAGTTTTTACGTTCCAAAAATTACTATTTTGCACAAAAACCGTCGTTTCGTGCGTTTTTTTAATGAGCGTGAATGGATCACAGTTGCGATTCCCGATTGTGCGTTTAAAAGCGTTTCTCGAAATTTTTGTCTGCTTGGGTACAAGATCATACATAAGATAGTTTCAATCGCGAACGTAGAAAGCAATTGACGTGAATTCAAATGCAATTGCCGCACGTATATTGCTTCGAAGAGATTACTCATGAACTAAATTCAACATATCTGAACTTGTCATAAGAGAATGCTCGTCAATATATGGTTAAGAAAAGAGACTATAAGAAGCTCAGGTATTAATTTCACCGGTTTATATGAACGATATGAAAGACACGCTACTACTATAGTTGTACTTTCTGCAAAAACATCACGATTTGAAAAAGAAAAGATTAGTGTCTATGCGACAAATTTGATATGCTCTAAAATCTGAATGGATTAAATTAAAATTGATCTCGAAAACCAGTATATGAAGATCTAGGAGGATTTCTTATAGCCAGTAATCTACATTTCATTAGCTTTCGATAAGACAGCCATCGATCAATTGAAAATGTTTTCCTCGTAAGTATATTACCTTATTATTAGAGGTCGAAAAGTACAGTTGTAGTTCACATCTCAAGAACTGTTCAAAACATTCTCTATAATTTTTGTTCTTTTTTTTTTAGAAAGATTTTTCCAAGTATAAAAAAAAAATAAACTTTTGTTCCGTTTTGGGAATAACGCACTTCTGGGTATATGAAGATCTTTGTTCGATTACTGAAATGTTGTTCTCGTATTTTCATACAGATCTTTTTTTGAATTTTTTATTATTCAAAATATTGATATGTTAAATGTTCATCATAAATGATTATGTTTGTTTCGTGATGAAACAAAGAAAAAAAAAATAATAACATTTAAATAGGATTTTTTCAGGTCAATCAAAATGCACTCATTTAGCTTTTTCATACCTAATATTCTCATGGTTTTAATGTACCATAGAAAATAATCAAAGTTTTACTTTGTAAATAATTAGCATAGAAAATGTGTAGGAAATTTTTGATTGATTTCTTATTAAAAGCAAAAAAAGTCTTTTTCTTTTTTTTCTTCTCTCTTTTTACCAGTTTGTTTTTCTTTTGGTATTAATTGTTCTGATGAACTTGTTGATATTGTTCGTTCAATAGTATTTTTATATTCATCTAATTGTATTTCATTATTAATCGAAATCATTGCATCAGTTTTTTGCGTAGTTTCAATGTTAACATTAGTCAGTGCATCAATCGGTATTTCAATATGATCGATAGCTAAAATATATAAAAAAAAAAAACGAAGAAGACATGTGTATATATACAATAGAACAGTAAAAAAAACCCGACAAAGAAAAGAAATCATTTCGGCTTCTTTTTTTTTTTATTCGAACCAAATAAAAATCATCATATCAATGTGCGTTAGCACGTACAAATACCTTTTGTTGTATTCTCTCATCTCTGCATGTGTCATACGCGTGTTTTGAATCTAATTTTTAATATGCTTATACACCTATAAAGTTCATGTTCGTCTTCCCTCAACATACATACATATATATAGATATATATGTATACGTATGTATATCTCCACTTCATTAGAAGCTCATTGTATGTATAAAGGGAAAAAGTGAGAGAGTTGAGCCTTTTGGAAGGGCGAGAACACACTGAAAGATTAGTTAATAACCCAATCAACACAGATTGAATGGGAGTAAAATGAACGGATGGACATTGTACATATGTCTAATGATATGATGAAGATATAGAACGAAAGAAATTCAAGTATAATTGAACTCAAAAAGTGTGCTCGTGACCATAAGCATTTTTGATGATCTCTCAGTGTATTTCATATTGAACGTGCATAACAGTTTTTTTAACCTTTGATCGATATGGTTAAATTCTATACAAATGAGAAAAATGAAAACTTTTGCATTTACTTGTATCTTTAAACAATGATGAAATATTATTATTATTATTATTATTATTATTATGATTATCATCGAATATAATTAATTGATTTGTTTGTAAATTATTTAAATTATCATCTGATAAACCAAGTGCTGAATCTTTTGAATGAAATATTGATGTTAAAAATTGATTTGTTTTTGTTAAATCATCAATTGATGACGTCGTTGTATCTATATGATGATCAGATTGATTTAATGAATCATGACTATTTGAAGAATATTGAAATTTTTCATAAATTGTATATGATGATAAATCATTTGGATTTATTGTTGTTGATATTTTCTTAGAAATCTTTTCGTCATCATCATTATCATCATCATAGTTTGGCATTCTTCTTTTGTTGTTCATTACCTCTAGGAATGAAGAATCAAAAAAAAAAAAAAGAAAAGAAAATCAACACATCTACTTTGAACAATTTTCTGTATGCACATTTAAGTATTCTTTCAATGCTCTAGTCGTCTTCATTTAATAGGCTATTGTCTAAGTACTTCATATCTTTATCGAACAATACAAAAGGCCAAGTTGAAAGAGAATTTTATGTTTGATTTTTGATTGAAAACAACAATCCAATTTTTTTATTTTTTTTGGTTACTATTAAGTATTCGGATGGATGACTTACTTCGTAGAAATATGTGACCTCCTTCATGATTGAACAGTAGTCGAAGATACAAAAAAAAAAGAATGACGAAGAAATATATTCGATATAATTTTTTTTTCTTTTTCTTTTTTTTTTCTCTCACCTTGTGCTATTCAAGAGCAATGACACATATGTATACATACATCATTTATATTCTCTATGTTAGTAATAATAATAAAAACTTACCTTGACCATCATTTTCAATCGATGATGTTATTGATGATAATAACGATTTTGATCGTTCATTTATGAAAGGAATTTCATTTTGTTCATATATTATTGAAGGATTGATCTTTTCATAATTACTATTGATAATATATGTGTCAAAATCGACCTTTTCACAATTTAAACTTGAACTTGACATATCTAGTTATAAAAGTAAAAAAAAAAAAAAAAAACGAGAAAGAAAAATGAAGACTGAATATCTCTATTGTTTATTCATTGAACTATCATTACCATGAAAGCCAATTGTTCCTTCTTATTCTCTCTTTTCTAACCTTGATTCATGCAGCTGTGGCCTCGAATGGATATATGTTTATATTTTTTTTTCTTCTTTCTTCATCTTCATTGAAAAGGAAAAAACAAACAGAGCTCGAAAGAAAAAAAAGAGAGAGAGAGAGAGAGAGAGAAGAAAAAAATGATTGATTTTTAGTATCATCGAAGGACTTACTCTTATCAAAAGAATTGAAATAAACAAAAGATACTTGTTAGCAATGTAAAAATGTATATGAAACGATTTTTACGTATAATGGTATTCTTTTGTTCTCTTCTGTTCTTTATAATATTCAGATTATGCCGTGCGTAACTATAAGGATGAGTGCACAATCAAGTTGTTCATATATATATATATATATATATATATTTCATTGCAAGAAAAATTCTGAAGTCAATTAAACTAAAGTAATTTAAATAATAATAGTTTTGTTAAACTGGAAGTCGCTATTTGACTAACAGAAAAGTGCAAACACGACCAGGAGTAAATAGACACGAGAATTAAATGGATATTAGGAGTAAATAATAAGTGAAATTGACACTTCATTTAGTTGAAGAACAAGATAAAACTAAATTTATCGAAACTATGAGAAGGCAAGTTAACAAAATCTAAAAAAATGTCACGTCAAATGTTGTAAATGAATGCAAAGGTGAAATTTTTTTTCATATGACTTATACGAAATTCCAAAACTTGATTCGATGTAAAAAAAAAAAAGAAAACAACAAATCTTTACCATTGAGACTATGTTCATCATCATGTATAAATGTTTGTGTTTGATGAAAATCACTATTTTCATCTTGTGATATATTTTGTAAATTAAAATTATCACGAACAGTTATAACTTGTGATGATGATGATGTATTAATTGTACTTTGTGAAGTATGCATTGATAAATTTGATGATGAACGACTTGATAATATTGATTCTGATTGATTTTGATTTGTATTAGAAAGAAATGTTGTAAATGCACGATCGATCCATTCACCAAATGTTGGTAATTTAAATTCAAATAATGGAGGTATTGATGATAAAGAATTTTTTAATAATGAATTATCTAATGTTATTATTAATTCATTTGAATTCTTTTCTTTTATATAATTATCTTCATCTTCATCACTAATTGTTTCAAGTTCATAACTTTTATATAGATCTTGTTTATTATTTAAATTATTTTTCATTGAACAATAAATATTTTGCTCAGTTTTATTTATTGATGTTGTTGTTGTATGTTCATTATTTTCTATGATAGATTGATTTAATAAGAAATTTTTAGATTCTTTTCCAATTAATGAATCATCTAATAATGCAAATAAATCATTATGATCAGTTATTTGTTCATCAATAGTTAATGTTATATTTGGTTGATAAATTTTTTGTTCACTTCCAATATCAACACCTGAATCAATTGTTATTTGTGAACATTCAGTTGATAATATTCTTGGACGATATATTGAATTTAATTGATTACTATTTTGTTCATTATTTAAAGATAATAAACGTATATTTAATTTTTCACGATAATCTTCAATTGTTGTTGTTATTGATCGATCAATATCTTCAAAATAATGTGAATTTATTTCATCAACATCTTCATCTGTACTTGCATATAATATTTGTTTAGATTTAGTTGGAGATGTTGATGATGAATGAATTATTTTTTCATTAGATATTTCAGATAATGATGTTTTATTGTTTTTATCAGAATGAGATAAAGAATAATCAGGTACAATTGAATCTATTTGTTTTGAATTAGTATTCATTGACGGTTTTTCTAATACTAAATAAATAGATGCATATTGAATACTATTGTTGATTAGTTGTTCTAATTATGATAATAATAGACACACACACACAAAAAAAAAAGAATTGATTCTATGATACGGGTGTATCATTGGAAAATATTGGAACAATGAACATAAAGTTCAGTAAATGTGGGCAATTTCAGACAAAACGAAACATATGCACCTTTCATTTGACTTGGATTCTTTACTAGGGTTATTTTTTGAATGAATTCTTTTAGCATAGATATATGTAAAGTTAACTATTAATTGATTGAAAAGTAATAACCCTTATTCGCGAATTAGTTGTTGGCCATATACTAGTTTATTTATAACTTTCTTTCATCTTTCTTGGTCGTTTTGCTTGCATATGCAAACAAAACAATTAAGGGAGATGAATGAAAAGAGACTGCTCTTGGTAACGAATAACCCAGTATATGACCACTTTTTATGTATGTGTGTAGTCAATAATCAATTCGTGAATAAGACTCATTAGTAAATATCCCTTTAACCATATGAGAAAAAAATCTATTAACTTCAGGATAGATTCTACGGCATAAACTGCATCTATGGTGAAATTTTCAGCAAGATTGGACTCCAAAAAATTTTCGTTTGTATATTCGTACTGTGTTATGCTGGTTTTTGTTAAAAATCTAGGCATGTTCAAAAAAAAACCAATTCGATCGAGATTTTTTAGCCTTAGAAGTCATCTACAGAATGTAAGATTTAGTTTTTAAAAATGCTACATCGATTCAAAATATTTTCTTAAAGTAAAATGTATGAAGTCAAAGTTGATGTCCTTTTTTGTCTCACGTTACTAACGAATGACTTTAGTTGGTAAGCACAAAAATAAAATCTACAGTCCACATCGGAAAGATCTACTTCTCATATATATATATACATTGTTGATTTCTTATAGCGTCTGGACTAGAGGGAAAAGAAAGGAAACGGCAGTACTTCCGGATAAATGATACATTAGTATATACTTTGTATAAATGTGAAGGATGGAAAATATTTTGATCTAAATAACAATAATCCAAAAAAAACATATGCATTCTATGGTATCGGAAGGAAACATTTAACAGCTTTAGAATTTGGGCCAAGTTTAATGCATGATAGATTCTTTTTCTTTCTTTATATATTAATATTATATCTAATATCAAGTATTAATGTGTTTACAAAAATACTTCAAGATCAGTACATAAAAGCAAACGTTAATATCTTTCATAGGACGCGTTATTCTTAGTATTTTAAGATCCCAGTAATTTGAAACTTGAGCAAAATTTTTTTTGCCACGGTTGAATAGAACTCATCAAATTATCTCTAAAAATATTGTTGTTGAAAATATTCAATCAATGTTTTTATAATGAAACTTAAGTTACAAAAATTGCAGTACGCTACTAAAAGCGGTAAGTCTCAATATTTATTCGAATGACTGAAATTTGACGAAAATTAGTTGTAAATAATAAGTATACTATTCGATGGTGACTGTGAATATGATATTCGTTTCTTTTGGAAGTCATGTTTTGATAATCAAAATCTCTAAGTAGAAAACCTTCTCAAATGATCAATTGCTTTTGAAACAGAAGGCCAATGGAAACTGGTCGTTTTGAGTTTTTTCATATTTCACTGAATTTTACTTTACGCACAGAGTCCGAATTCAAAAAGGATTAATCAATTGAAAACCTTCCCTTCTGAATACAAACTCATATTGATGGTTTTGGTTTGCTATCACATTAAAAAAAAAAACCAGTTTTCTCAACAATCAAACAAAAAAAAAAATATTTGGATAATTATTGACACTATCCAGACGTAATGCTTTTGACATATTTCAATTATTGTAACGTAAGTTTCATTATAAAAAACATCGTCTGATTACGCTAAAAATAATATTTCTGTAGATAATTTAGAAGATGAAATTTTTTTTTTCTTTGTAAGAATTTAGTTCCTATCGATTGCTTATATTCAATTATGATCAATTATTTTTGCTCTATCCAATGCTATAGTCGAAATACAAATTTTGATTTCTTTTTTTTTGTTTTAAAGATATTATTGAATATAAAATGTGATTACCTTCTGGAGTTTCGTTTAATAGATTTGTATTATTTTCATGATAAAGAATTAATGGTGCCGATTGATTATTTTGTTCACTAGATGATCCTCCAGTATCTGTATGATTATTTATTATAGATTTTTTTTGAGATTTTTTTTTTAAACGATTATGTTTATGTAATTGTTGATCACTATGCCATTTTATTTTTGAATATCGAAGTTGTTTACCATTTCCTTCAATATTCCATTGTATATATTTTGTTTTATTTAATAATGATGGTTGATAACGTTTTGTTGTTGTTATTGATATAATATTACCATGAGAATTTTTATTTGTTTTAGTTTGTTGTATTAATGATGATGAACAAAGTAAATGAGATGCTGATCCCGTCAAATTTTGACATGATGATGTTAGAATAGAATCTGATGATGTTTGAAAATTTTGCCAATAATCAATTTGACCACGTTGTAAAATTATATTTCGTGATGATATTGGTATAGAACGTTTATTATTATTATTATTATTATTATTATTATTATTAATTATTGGTGGAATTTGTTCAATTGAAAAATTTGGATAAAATTTATTTTCTTCATTTTCTATATTTGTATTTTTCCAAACATATGGAATTGTTTTTGTTAAACCAAATGAATTCGTTTGATTTGCTACTTGAATAAGATAAATTGATGATGATGATGATGATGATAATAATGATGGTGTTTGAGAAGATAAATGATTTGATTGATCAGTAGAAACTACTGTTGAATGTGGATGTATTTGAAAATATTGTTTGGATTGAAGTTTTTCAGAAGTATTTAATGATGATAATGATGAAAGAATTTGAGAATTTGAAGATCGACGATGACGTAATGAATGAGATTTTTTTCTTAATGGAGAAAGTGATTGTGAAGAAGATGATAAAGAACTTGATGTTGATTTAGATTTTGAATGACGACCTAGAAGAAAAAAAAAACATAATATTTGTTTTTTCTTCAAAATTAATAGAATTATTTTGTTACAGATTTCAGCAGTCTATCATAATGACGTAATCAAAAAACAAAAAAACAAACAAACTTATAGTCAAGACGAAGGCACTCTGATAATGCTTCTAGAAGGAATTCAATTCCCTTTTGTGAAACATGATCTAAACAGAATGTTGAAGTATCGAAATAGAAATTCAGACTGACTCCCCTCGTTCCCACCGACTGTAATAGATGCTCATCAGAGACAATTACAGACCGTGACAGACAGAAGTTAGAAACTATAACAAACCATAACAGATGCTAACCAAGGACCATTACAAACGTTATTAATATAAATTCAAAGACCGTATATCAATAACGTCTCGTTATAATGAACTATTTATTACACTTCTGAAGGACTAATCAAAAGAATAGTAAAGTCTCACAGAAATTATGTTAACAGATTTTTTTAAAAGTAGTTCTCAACGGTTTACTAGTCTATCATTTAATCAGAAGACTAATCAATTATACAATTGTATTTAAAATATTTATATACATAGTTTGAAATAATACATTTTCTGTTCGAGCAAAAAAAAAAAAGAAGACGAATATGAGTTTTGAATGCTTCCTCTCAAAAAAATCGACCTTGATCTAAGTACATTCAAACCGCATAAAATTTTCAGCCCTATAACATGATGCTTTCGGGATATATTCAACAAACAAAAGTCGTTGGCAACCGATAATTCTCTATGGGCTTTCATTTTACATCGTAAATTTCTTTTTGTTTGAAAGAGTATGTCAGAATGCAGAACTTTTTTTTTTTTTGTTTTAAATTCGTGAAGAAAACTTCAATGCTTTTAAAAACAATGATGCTGTAATTATAAAAGTAACAAAACTTAATTCAAAAATTCTAAAAGATTCAATGCAAATAACTTAGTTGAACAATTTCATGTTTTATCGTAAATTGATTCTTTGAAAAAAAAAAAAATCGAAATTTTACTACGAATAAAATTTGTCATCGATTTGATTACATTATTGAAGATACTTAAACAATAGTCTATCATCTTATTCTATATAATGATCGACAGGAGGAGGCAACAAATATGTATAACTACCCAACATGATTCTCATTTTTTCGTGTATAACATTAAGTATTGTAATATATTGGTTTTTTTTCAATCATACGAATGTCATTGAGGAGAAAAAAAAGTATTTGAAAATCGAAATAAATACATATAGATTTTATATATCTCTTACTTTTCTATTATTAAGATTGAATAATAAACCAAAAAGAAAAAAAACAAATACACAATCGAGATCACCTTTTAGTTATATCTAGCGAAGAAAAAAAAACCCATATATTGTTTACTTGAGGATATAGATGACTTATATTCTGATATTACTACTATCTAAACATAATAAATGATTGTATAATTGCCTTTAGCAAATAAAATGTTTATATATTATCTTCGATCTTTTGTTAATGGGTAGGAGGAGAATATCGTGTGTACATATTTTAATCGTTTCATATTTTTATGATATTTGATTCGTAATCATTAATAATTTACTTACCACGTAAAGCGAGTATTGTTTTATTAACGCATGTACTAATTGAAGGAAACATAGGTATCGTTTACTTTCTTTTTTTTTTTGCAGTTGAATGACAATATTACGTTGTATTATAAAAAAGACAATGAGTATTAGGTAGGGTCGATCGATTTAAAGCGTATGTTTCAAGATGTAACATATAATGTTAATATTAAACGGTTATTATCGACACCGCCTACTAAGTAATGACATCAGAAAAAAAAAAAAGAGAAAACGACTTGATCATTGTTCATCGTATGTGTAGCTCTTATTCTTTTCTCTTTCGCTCGTCGTTTTTTTTTGACCATCAAGAGAAAGAGATTTATCACCACAAACACGCACATATGATCACTAATTATACATAGTAGTCTTCTATCTACAGTTTCTACTGTCCATAATCATTACTAGTAGATGCATGATTATTGACTAGTAAAAAAAATCAAATTGGTTTTATTTATTATATTTGTCAGACTGACTTTTTATGAATAATCATAATTCTCTTATGAATTTCAATTGTAGTTCATTGATCATCCTGATCAATTCAAGCACACAAATAAAAAAAAAAGTAATCAATGACCCACAAATAGTAATGGTAGACATAATCGAATGCACTTATTCCACCTTACTATTGTTCTACTATTATTATTGCACTTCGATTAAATTACTCTAGTGTATGTTGACGAATAGAATTCAGTTGACCGGAAATGACTATGAATGAAAAAAAAAATCATCTATGCGATGATCAAGCTTCTTGACTGCTTACTTTTTTTCTCATTTTTCAAGCAATTTTCATTATTCTCTATGTGTAAATGTGCAGATGATGAAACATATACATAAAAAAAAAAATATACTATCCAGATGAATATAAAACTTATGTATATTTAGTTCTTAAAACTAATTATAAATAAATTTTGCATTGCACATAAAGAATTCAGTCAATTCTGAAACGATTCGTTTGATAATAATCATTATTTATCAATGATATTTTAAGATTATTCTATTGAAAAAAAAAAAAAAAACTATATCGATTTAACTTGTTTGATTTTATAATTACTCATGCCATTTATTTCATATGTATTGTAGAAGAACAGAAAAAGAAAAAAGCAATGACTTCGCATTCTTTGTCTGATACTAATATCAACATTTCTATAATACCTTCTATTTTGAACAATCAATCATTCGAATTTTTTTGATTATTCATGATAATAATACTGTCTACAAACATGATTGAGAATCAATGACAATAATTTATAAAAAAACAAAAAGAACTCAATCTACTTATATTAATTTCGGTTTTTTTAACTTTATCACATTTTATTGATAAGGATACTATGTCTATATGATATTCGTATTTTTTTTTTTTGTTGATGTTGTCTTTAAAGATTATTAATAATAAAGCACAAGAATATGTACAAATAAAGAAACATCAGTGATTGAGAGTAAATGAAAAGATGTCACCTCGATTTCTTACTATTGAAATAAAAAAAGAAGAAGAAATTTGATAGCATATCACAATAAACTAACATAAGCCTTACATTTAATCATTGACTAAATATAGTTTTAGATTCATTCAATTTCTACCCATTGTTCTTTTTCTTTTTTCATTTATAATCCTTTTTCCATCATCATTAGAAACAAAAGAATCAATTTAAATCCAGCAAAAAAAAAAAAAAAACAACACTGAAACTATTCGTATACCTTCTTTTTCTTTATAACGAGATTGTCGTTGTCGTTTATCTGGTATTGATAGATTGTGTTTATGTTTTTTCTTTTTTTTTATTAATAGTTGTTCATCCATATTATTGGTTTCTTTCAATGATATATTTTCATTATCAGATATAATTTCTGATGTTCCATCAGCATCATCATTTAAACTAAAAAAAAACAAAAAAAGACAGAATTTTTTTTTTTTTTCTTAATTCTGAACAATTAAACTAACACCTGTTCTTCTATGATTAATAACAAATGTTTTTTTTTTTTTTCATATCAGTTATCATTTGATTCAATGAAATAAAGAAGAAAAAAAAAATTCGAAAAATTAAAATTATTTGTTAGTATGAATAACGAACTCTTACGAAAATTATCTACATACTAAACTTAAAAATAAATAAAAAAAAAAAAAGTGAAGTAAATTTTTTTTTCTTTATTTTGTATATGCATGTTACTTCTTTTTTTTTTGTCTGTGATAGGTGAGATGAATTTTCAAGTGTTGAAAGAAATATTCACCTTGAAATAGTGTAAAGTAGAAATAGAAACGACTTTCAAAATACAACAAAAAAAAGAAACTGTCTTCTTTACTAATAATCAATAGAAAGTAAAATTAAAAATTTCGTCAAAAAAAAAAAAAAAAAAAAGAAGTTCTTCTATGGTATTTAATATTATCAGATTGATATACTTTATATGTAAAACTTTTTTTTTTTCATCTATATATCAATGAACAAGAAACCATAGAGTAGATTTAGTAAAACAAAAAAAAAACAAAGATCGTGCATGACGAATGAATAGATTTTTTTTGTTGATGTTCTCTTCATTTCATAGACAACTTGTGATTTTTAATACAAGATCATTATTTCTATCTGTTCTTATATTGACTAAAAAAAGAAATCCTTGAAAAATCACACTTTTTTCTTTTTTTGTATGTCAAAGTGGTTTCTATTATAACAAAGAAGATTGTTTGCTCACAATAGACTTTTTTTTTTAAATAATAATGACACCTGTAACAATTTGAAATGTATAGAACCAAAGTGACATTGATATCAGGAAAAAATAATTATTGTTCAAATAAGACAGAAATATTCTATAGTTCGAAATGAATAATTTTATAAATCATATCAAACAAAGCAAAATTCAAGAAACGTGATCAAGCAGTAGTATTTATAGATAGGTGTGACAGTGGTTGAAAAGAAGAGCCATTCCTACACCTATACAAATAAAAAGTGACTAGCATAGGACCTATAAAAAAAAAGTCTATCTTAATCTTGAACATTTCTAGTAGTAATGATTTCATAGAAAGAAATGTTTGTTTATTTTAAAATATGAATAAAAACCATTCAGATCTTTCAATATAAACACATACATATTAAAAATATGAGAACATAAAGGAAAAAAAATAGAATCTTTCGAACAATGAGACAAAACAAAACCTTGAAATGAAAAATCACTTAATAAAATTGTGGAATACGCTTTAATAGATTTTTTATGTAGGTATCGTTTAAATTTTTCTTTGTAATCAAAAGTATATAGATTGATTTGAAGAGCTATTAGACAAAATAATACTTAAATTTTTCGTGTGTTATGCTTTTTGAGAAACTAAAATATATGCAGAAGAATTTGTTTCTTGTAAAAATTGGTTGTCTTTCTTTTTTCTTTTGAAATTTCTTACAGAATATATTAACATACAAAGTTATGAAAATTCCAAAATAGAAGAAAATTTCCTATGAATTTTTAAATCTGTAAGTATTCGAAGTGTAGCAAATATTAAAAAATGATTAAATCCATATTTCATTTCATCGATCTCATTTTGAGAAATGATATCATTTTTTTTCAAGGTCGATAGAATTTTTTGAAAAAAAAGTATGTTTCTATTAATGATGCTAATTTTCTACTATTGATGTAAGTTAGTAGAAAAATTGATTTTCTATTTTTTGCTTTTCTTAACATAGTAAATTTTTTATTCTTTATGTATCTGTGCTCAAGGTGTGAATAGTCGGTAATATGAATAGAATATTAAAAAAAAAGAGTTGGAAAACTATTGGATTGAAAACAAGAAAAAAAATTTTATATAATAATTTATAAAAAATTTTGTGAAAAAGATAACAATTTCGAGATATTACATGAAAATGATATGCTTTACATTACTAAAGTATATATATATATATATATTTCCTCATCTTGTTATTTTTGATTAAAAATGAAACCTTTTCAATTGAATCATTTTCTATGTTTTCGTTAGACATACTTTTGTTTCTTTGTTTTTCTTACCTATCTATTTCATATAAATCATCAGTTGTTTTTGTTGATGATGATAAACTAGAAGCTAATACTAATCGTGGAATTTTTGTTTTTTTATTTAATGATTGAGATTTATTAATTAATAATAATGATGATGATGGTGATGGTGATGGCGAATAATTATTTGTTGATGTTGAAATTCTTACCGGTATTTTCGATGACGATTTTTTTCGTTCAATTGTTTGTATTAATGGAGAATATTCAGAAGATTTTGACTTTATTATAGATGAAGTATTTAGCACCGTTAGTAATGGATCATGTGAAATAGCACGTCGTTTAGATTTAGTAATAGGACGTTGTTGACTTGGTGTTTTAGCTCGTTCATGTTGATGACGAAAATTTGGACACGATGGATCATGTTTATGATGATGATGATGATGATCATAATGATGAATAGAGCTAGATGATGTATTACGAAAATCTTTTAATGATTCACATTTACATACAGCACAACGTGGACAAAGTGGTACAGGTATTGGATCATGACCATGGAATAAAGGATCACGCCAATCACGAAGTGTTTCAGCAAAAAGTAAATGTTGATTTGAAGATGATGAATAAATTTTAGATAAATTATTTTCAGAATTTTTTATTGATTCTGCCATTAATTAATGATGTTCTAATGTTAATTTGAGTAGAGACAATTTTGAAGTCTAAAATAGTTATATACATCATAGACTATATATATATATATATATTGTTCAATGAGAACAATGAATAAAATAAAAGGCAATTGATTTCTTTACAAAAATGTAAGAGAACATAAAATACATTCAATTTTTATCTAACTCTCTCACTCATGACTTCAGGGTTGAATTGAACTTTTCGTCTTCCATTTTTAACGTTACTAGTGTAATTGTCAGAACAACCATTCGTTCGTTTTTTCTTCTTTCCTACTACTCCTCAAATATCTGATCTTTCTTGAAGTACAATACACAGAAGTTATACATAATAAAGATTTCATTGATTACTATTCCTTTCAGTTAGAAATTGCCTGGAAATTTTTCTCTTTTAGAAAAGAAATAGTTTCCTACTTGATTTATGTCTAGAAACTCAAAAAAAAAAGAAAACAAAAGAACAGAACAATACAATTACATACAATGATCGATATATCATCATTTAAAAAGCAATTAATAAAATGAATGGAAGAAAAAAAAAAATGACACCGACAGATAAACTCTTTAATGATATTGAAATTTACACATTGTGTGATTTGACATTGTCCCTCACCCGTCATTTTATACTATTTAATTTAAGTCAATGAAAGAAAAGAGATAAACAGAAAATTGAATGTAAATGCACACAGCAGGAGAGATGAATTAACATACAAGGTAGGTATTGTTTAAAAAATGATTATTAATGATAAATTTGTATTTTCAGACTATTGTTAATTAATCTAGTCTTACCTTTTAACTTCCGTCAATATTAAATTGTCGAATACTTTGAGAATAAATGATTTCCGAGCGAATATTCATCAAAACGATCGATCGTATTAATGTATGCCAATTAAACTAAGCCTATTTATCATGCCGATGACATACGTTTTCAAAAAGAAAGAACAAAAAAAAAAAAAGAAAAAGTCTGATGTAGATAGTATTGTTCTGGAGGTTTTTTTTTTCTTTTTCTCTTACTAGAAATTTTCAATCATTTCTTATGATATATTCCCTCTCTCTCTCTCTCTCTCGATAATAAAATGATTTTGTTAAGTTTCGTTCTCGTTTTTTTTTTTTATTATAATTTAAAAACAACAAAAAAAGAAAAATACCAATACAAAATTTTTTAAATAATATATTTCTTTTTGTTTTCTATATCAGTTCTTTTTTTCATTTCTCACCTAGAAAAAAAAAAGAAGAAAAAAAAGTCGACTGACGACAGTTAAGAGCATGACAAATTCTATCCAATTCACTTTTTCTCTTACTCATATACTTGCTCTCATACGTCAAGTGTTCGTAGAAAACAATAAGTGGTAGTGACGTGATAAGCTTGCATAAAGACAAGAGTCTGATGTACAGTGAAAACGAAGAAGACGATGACAAAAGAAAAAATAAAAGGAACTTGATGTAATTCTTACATCATTTATTATGTACATTTCTCAAGTTTATATTCTTTTTTTTCTTCATGTATCTATTATTACAATAAATGATTTATTAAATTTATCAATTTTATTGTTATCTTACTACTCAACATGATTATTCTAATTTTATTTTATGATAAAAATATTATAGTCAGAAGAAAGAAAAATAAAGCATGTAATCTCAAAAATGTAAACAGAACAAACAAACTTCAAAGAGTTTTAATAGTTAATAAATAGAAAGTATTCTTTTTCTTCTCGTCTCATACGCAAGTAGTAGTACACCTCCGTCGCGATAAAAAAAAAGGATGAATAAGAGAAGTACCGGTAATAAGTAGCAGAAGGAAAAAAGAAAACGTGTGCTATATGAAAACGAGTTTTTCTTTTTTTCTCTTCAAACAATGGTACCTGATCGATGTTAGTTTGATGATGTGAGTAGTCTACACGAGCCTTATATATAGTAAGCATATTGGATTGCTTGTTAGTACTGATGTTTGATGATGAAAAGAGTTTTGTTTTAATAGAGTTAGTTCCGTGCATATATATATATATATAGAATATGTTAAAGATAGAGAACATTTTTTCATACACTTATCTTTGGTTACATGATTAAATAAAGAAAAAATGTAAAAAGTACAAAATGAGAGAAAATAGTTCCAAGTGTTTATTTTTTTTTTTTTTTTCTTATTGTTTTCTATAGTGATAAAATTATCTTGCATTTAATCATATTATTACATGATGTTATATAAGGGTTCGAATAAGAAAAAAAAAGAAACCTCATAACATATGTATCATTCATTTGCCTTTTATCACTATGACATACACTTCCGATCAATGTACAGCAAGAATTATACATGATTGTGCAAATATAAGATTTGTATTATTATTATTATTACAACACAATATTCAAAAGTGTTGCTTTGCATGATGATAGTCTAGTATATGTGTATATAGAACTTGTCATCGTTTCTCTCTCTTTCTCTATATATATATATGTCTATGTTGACGAACGAAAATGTATACAAAAATGAATTGTGGCACTGCAATACTAATAATATAGACCCACTTTAAAAACAGATCTTCAAAATTTACTTTAGAATAATAGTGTAATAGTCAAATTTAAATTATGAAAAATATAAAAAAAATATGTTTTATTGAAACTCAGAGTTCTAACATAGATGACTGATAGGATAGATATATTGTAGCACATAAATTCTTCTTATTGTAATCATGACAAGAATGGATATATAGTTACAAAAACTATTAAATGATAGACAATGTATCTTAAACTGATAATATTGATATGATAAAAAAAATATCATTTAATAATTTGTATAATATTATTTCATGGATTTTTCAATTGAGTTTAAAAAGTGTATAATTGAAAATTGTTTTCTTCTTCTATTATAATCTAAAATTTTGTTTATTTCGACAGATACAAAGTCGAATATCAATATCTGTTGTAATGTTCTATTCCACTATCCAAGTAAATAGAAAAGAAGTAAATGCCATGTCTGATCATATACTATGAGATTATGTTGGAGTTCTAGCTGATTGATATTCCATTTATGAGTTATAGAAGAATCCCTAAGGCTCTATCATTCAGATAACCACCGAACTCGTTGCGGTTGCAAATTAAGATTAACACGATTTAATATAAGCCTCTAAGGGGTGTTTCCTATGATATGAAATCTTATTTTTTTTAGTTGAGGAAACAAAGAAAATATACTCCTTAGATTTTAAATCATCTGCGAGAAATTGCATTCGTTTTTGGATTAAAAATCAAATATTGAGAAAAATAGTAAATAAGTTCAAATATTAGCTTTTCTATTCAAATTCAGAAAAAATATTTGCAAAACAACTTATTCGCAATATAAACAAGCAAACTTGTTTTATGAAGCATGTAATAGATAAAGTCGATTATCAAAGTCTACAGCGAATGGATAGTATTCATTTTCTCTCTTTGAAAAACTTCTTTTTTCCAAAATTAATAATAAGCCGATTCTCTCAAATACCCTTCTCATTATAAGTCCAGTTTTGATAAACATATAACATTCATCTTAACTATTAATATCTGCTTAATAATTAATATGAAAGTGTTTTATTCAATATTGACAAAAGGAAAGTCTTTCTCAAACTCAAATAATTTAAAAACTTGCGAAAATTTCTCGAAAAATCAACCTAAGAAGATTTAAAATGTTTTCTCATTATTAAATAAAAAGTAATTAGCGAATATTTCTCTAGCCATAGGAGCAAAGAATCCAAAAACTTCAGGATAGACTCTACATCATTAACCGCATTTATGATGGAATTTTCAGCAAGACTGGACAATAAAAAATCGATTTTCTAGAAACTCTGTTAAATCTTGAACCAAAAGTTTTTGTTTTGAAACTTCATTTAAAGATTCTGAAGAAGAATTTGTACTGTTTGGAATTGATTTTGAACTTTTCATTCGCTTATAAGAGTTTTTTTCGTTTTTAAATTCGTACCCCGTTAGGTCGTTAACAAAAAAGTAAATCAGTTGTTTTTGAACAATCTAGGCATGCTCAGGAAAAATTTAAGATAAAAATTTTGCAGTTTTAGAAGTTTTCTACACAATGTAACGTTTATTTTTCAAAAATGCTGACTTAATTCGGAGTTTTTTAAAATTCAATTCCATAAAGTGAAAGTCAATGTCGTTTTAAGTGTCGGATCTTTTTTTTTACTTATATCTACTCTTGACAAAGATCTCTAGCGCTGATTTTTTTAGGATATCTAGAGTAATTTAACATACATGTAATATAAAAAGAATAGCTCTGGGAAAGTTCATCATCTCGAGATACACAAGTTTTAATTTCCCTACGTCACAGCGATAACAAATGATTTTGTCTCTATATATATAGTCGTAAAGAGGAGAGTTTGACATATTTTCCTGGAACAAAAAACTCAATTTTGACTTTTTTTTAAGTGTAATTTCTTCTTGTGAAAGACTTTCAATGATTTTAATTTAAGTTACTAATAATTTGTTAGGCGATTGAAACAAAACTATCGAATGATTTGTTTGTAATATGTAAAACAAGTGAATATCGTGAACATTTTCAAGAAAATATTTCATCTAATAATTTAATAACAAAATGAATTTCAAAACTACAATATGAAGTTTAAACACAATTAAATAATTTCTTTTTTTCAAACTTTCAATTAAACTATAAATCAAAAGTTTTAAACAAAAAATATTGATTTCATTTAGACATTGAAAAGTATAATTATTGTTATCTTATTCAAAGATATCAATGAAATATCATATAGAATCAAGATTAAGACATATGCTGTATTAGTTCTCATGTCATTCTACCAGCAAATGATTTAATTCAGAAGTTATTTCATTATTTTTAACAACACATTTTAGTACAAAGCTACTGAATTTCTACAATTTTCTAAACATATCAATATTGTTCACCATCCTGTAAATTACAAAAATCTATTAAACATATTTTTCTTCGTGATATTATTTAACCATGAATGGAAAAGTGGTTTATCAAGTAGTTTTAATAAATATGAGACAGTTTTATCATGTACTAGATCAAAACATAAGAGTAATAATACATTTTGATTATACATTTGCGGCATTTACTGATGAAGATGTTGATAGAATTATACAAGATAAACCACATAAACATCGACGGTAAGGTATTAGAAGTAAAACAAGCAGAAAATCTAAGACATAATTGTCGACAATCTTTATCAACATCACTGAGGTGATAATATGTGGCAATTAAAGACTAGATATTAGATGATAAACGTCGACGTTATGATCAATTAAAATTAGAATTCATTTATTTATTTACATTGTTATTTAGCATATCTAACAGCTGAAGAAGTTTATTATATAGTTTTTTTCTACATTTTTCAGTATCATGGAACAAATCATCATCAAATGAATTACTATTTTAATTTGTATACTAAATTTATATCTAAATACCTTTCCGGAATCTATACAATTCATATGGTAATCGATAAGACAACTTGATTAGATATTCTAACTCAAATTCAGTTCTTGTTAGTATACTCCAGTAGAGTTTAAAGAAATAAAAGCACTAATAAAAAGAAAAACATATATATACTATTTAAAGATCTTTTGTTTAATTCTTTTTTACGTGGATAATCGCTGAACAATTCAAGAACATCATATTGCACTTTTATCTTTTCATGTTGTCAATTGTTTGTAATCTGAGAACTGAAAAAAAACATAAAAACAATTGTTCGTTGTTCTTGATCTTTTTTTAATTTTATGTAAACATGAACAATAACAAAGGATACTCTTCGTATTATTTTTGGATTAAAATTAATGATAAGAAAAATTACTCGAATCAACTTAAATGTATTTGAATACAATTGAATCAGAGTTTTAACTACATAGTGAGAATTATCAATCGTCTTTTTAAAAACAACAACTTGATTATGAAACAGTTTTCTTCATGAATCAAACAATTTCGACCAATGATTCGCTTGATTTCGACGAGAAAAGATATGTGAATGTGGATGAAGAGAAAACTCACACTCACACCCCCACTTCGAATACTTATTATGTATCTTAAACGATTTCAAATATGATCATAGTTTATTATATGGATATATTTCTAATTCAAGAGTTAAAATTGATATAAACATTAAATATTCAGAGTAGTATGTATTTTTTCGTATAAAAAAGATATTTGAAAAAGAAAAATATTTTTGCCTGTCTATATTTTGTTTTACTCAACAAATCTACCGACATATAATAGTGTAAGCTAAATTTAGTTGTTTTTCCTAATTGAGAAGTCCTAGTAGCTAATAGAACTTCTCAAGACAGTTTTAAGATAACGTAAACATGTTCTACTCTGGATGGAGTAATGTTTTTTTCATCTTTATTCATATATTAATCGCTATATATTAAAAAGTAAAACAGTTGTTTTTGCATGTTAACTTGTCTTTTTTCATAGCTATGTTATTCTATAGTAGAGAAAAGTACCATCTTATATCACAGTCCGTCAAGTGGCTTCGTAACCTAATCCAGAGAGACTCAATGTGCCTGATGTGGCGACAGTAGTGTACTATTCGGGAAGACCGCTATGTTCTTAGCTCCCTCTCGTCGTTATTGTACATCATATCTACATTCATTACCTTAGCAATTCGATGTGATCTGCTCTCCGTCTACTCATTTCAGGCTCACAAGGGTTTTTCTGGCCGCTCGCGTGCGCGATAATGAGCCGACAGAGGTTGGAAGTGGTGAACGGCAATCAGAATCTGTTTATTGAGCAAGGCATTAAAAGAAACAAATTTACATTATCTTTCTTACATAGTTAATATTATCTATCGCTCGTCGAATTAGAAGATGCGTTGGTGAAAGTGATTTTACTCGGATAGCAACTGCCTTTTCTAGAAAAGAAAGGGTTTCCAAGTAGTTACCAATGTCGAAATACACCACACTGATGTTGTTGTAGAAAGTAGCCAATGAGGGATGGTTCTGAGACAAAACTGTTTCTCTTATTTCAAGTGCTTCCTCATAAAATTCAAGTGCTTTCGAAGAGTCACTCATTTTCTGATACGCAAACGTCAATATTATTGTAGATATGAGCCAATTTCGGATCATTTTCCGGGAGAAATTTTCGCCTAATTTCGAGTGCTTTTGCGTAAAACGAAAGTGTTTGTTTGTATTATTCTTATTGGTTTTTCGACCATCCAAGGCAAAAATAGATATACCCTTTTTCACTGTCCTCAAATGACTGTTTTAGAAAATGCATCGACGCCTTATTTTGTTCAGAACTTTGTATGCTTTAAAATGGTATTGTTAAAAATAGCTCTGACAAAGTCTTCTGGGACTTGAACATTACAATGTTCAGTTTTTTTTTTAGAAATCTTGTCATCATAGATCATCTATGAAATGATGGTATAGCATGCACTAGATAGAAAACTCTATTGGCTATGAAAATCACTATCTGTATTTGAGCTAGATAATGACATTATGGAAAAAAACCAAAGATACGTTGTTGGTAAACTTTTCTTCACCACTTTAGCTGCTGTTGTTAATCACGGAAAGATTATTTTGAGACACATTATGTCATTATTCTTTTACTTGATCCTTCAAAAATGCAATAAGAAAATAGTTCATATTCATATATTTAACGAAGCATTACTGATATATGGTTTGTGATGCGAGGCAATAGAGTTTTGTCTACATGAGTGTTCAAATTTTTACCTCTGTACTTCAATACTCGTTTTAAATCATATTTTACAACATAAAAAGAAATAAAAATGTTTCGTTCTTTATGAACTATCCATGGTATTCCTCAATCCTATAAATAGACATGCATTTATTAGTCATTTTCCACGTAATATTAAATTTAAATTATTTATTAAGATTTTAATATTATTGTTTTACGAATGCTTTTCTTTTTAAACAGTTCTTCATATTTATCTTTTTCTTACAACCAAATTTTTTCCTATAAAAATAATAATAATAATATTAAACTATCAAGTTCAACAAAAAAAACAAACTTACTTAATATGATTTTGATATGTACAAATTCGAGTAATTTTATATCCAAATTTTTTTAATTGAACTATCAAATTTTGACGTTTACCAAGCATGTGTCCTTAAAGGAAACAAGAAACAAAAATAAATTTTAGTAAATCAATATCAAATACCAGCACCAATAGCAAAAAAATATCGATTATTATTTGAATAATATAATAATCTATGAATATTTCTTGATATTTGTTCATCACGTTGATCAATACGTCGAATTTCATCATTTGTTATAAATAAAATTTTCATATATTTACTATCAATTTCATTACAAATATAATCGTTTATTATCGATTCATTTACATAATGTTTTATATCATCAATACTAAATCTTGCATTTTTCATTCTATTTTTAATATAGTCCAACATTATTATCCATGTTGTTAAATTATAACGCCAACCATCTTGCTAGAAACGAATAAATATTGTTTTAGAACAAAATGAAAAAACAAAGAATATTTTGTAAAATTACTTCACAATGATATTCAGCTGATTCTAAACTACCTACAGTTTTATTTAAACGGCGAGCTTCTACTAATAAATAAACATCAAGTAATTCACCTCTAGTGGCAGAATTAGCTAAATAATAATAATAATAAAAAAACTAGAATTGCCTTTTTTCATTAATTAATCATTTATTAACTTGATCGTTCGATTCGTTTTGATCGATTAACTAAACATAGAAGAAAATCATCCCAAAATGCATCATTTTTTACATCGATTTCTGCATAAAAATGTGTGCTTGACATAAATGCTTGTCGAATTTCTTTTGATACATATGGCCAAACAAGATTATAAGGAATATGAATTGTACCAAAAATATATGATGGAGGTGATGTTTCAATACGCCAAAGTAATGTAGATGAACATGTCTTATACAAAAAAACAAATATATAAAGTCCTTGAAATAACAATAGAATTTTAAAAAAAACCAACCGAAAAAATAATGAATAAAACAAGATGTAAGATATTGTTTAGCATGATTGCAAATGCCTTTTCTTTTCAAATTTCTTCTATCATCATGCTTATCTTTACATGTCTACATACATATATTTTATTTCAATGAATAGTAATAACTTTCTTTTCTATTTGTTACATCAATAAGTAAACAACTAACATACAATGTATTGAGTCAATCCATTAGATTATTTCTATTCTATATGAATCAACCAAATTTTTGGCACATGTACATGTGCATTTATTCCTAATCTATCTTGTATAAACAAGAGAACATCCTCATCATCGATGAAGATTGTTATTATTTTCCTCTGTCAATTCTTGGATGCATCATACATCAATATATATATGTATATATACAGACAGATTATCATTGACAACAATATCACTGATGATTAGCGGTTCATTTTCTTTTCTATTCTATATTACGTACGATAGTACAAACTAAATAATAGTTATCTATATATATACACTTTTCTCATACCATCATAGATCAACATATATAATCATGCCAGCCTATATTTAAATGGCATGTTGCTAGAAATAGAATAATACAAACAAGATACATTCATATCACACATGATTCCACTGATATTACAAGCAATAATCACTCTCAGAATTCACATATAACTAACTAATGTTTCAAAAAAAAATGTTATATAGATCATCATATATATCTATAGTTAATTATCAAATTCTAAACTTTGAACATATATTTAGTAAGTTCTTTCTAGAAACTCTTTTTTTTCTGGTTTTTAAATCAAGAATAATCTAGTTTGAAAAAGTATCATTCGTTTGTTTTATTTTTTTAATCCATCGAACTAATCATATAGATATATATATGTGTGTGTGTGTGTGTCTCATGTATATTTGATAGTCATACAAAGTTCATTTAAATAGATCATTGTTGCTTTCACTCTTTGCCTACATATTACAAAAGCATATCGAATGTTGATAAATCCAAACAAAACAATGGAAAGAAAGAAGTACGCTTTGTCGACAATATTTAACAAACATACGATCGATAAAAGTACTCTCTTTCTCATGGCACTTGTCATGCGAAATAAACTTTTGCATTTTTTTTTAAACTCCTCCTGTCTATTTAAACTAGATCAAATTTCTTCCCGTAAAAAAAAAAGAAGAAAAGAAAATGCATTTTCATTTCATATAAAAGTCACAATTGATTTTCCATTGATGCATATACACCTGTTATTTGCCGCTCTATGATTAATCATAAATTGCAAGCATGAATGCTCACACGAGTGGGTGACGTTTTAATTATGATGTACACACGTCGTTGTCTTATCCTAGCAATAATCGGATCAAATATCTTCTTGCTTATATGCTTGAAATTTGATCTTCTACTTCGTTGTCGTCATGAGAAATCTGATGTGTATGTAATAGACAAAAAAAAAAAATAGTGTACTAAATAATTAGTAAAGGGGGGGGGGGATACGGAAAAAAAAAATTTCGACGAGAGCCAATTGGAATATATTAAGGATAAAGTTGACAACCAATCACAATGTTAAAGGATCTGTCTGCTTCTTTTTCTTTTTCTTCTTCTTCTTCTTCTTTCTTAATACTTATCGTCGTTGTCACTTGATTAGTATTGACACATCGAAATTTGGAAGAGGAAAAAAAACGTTGGGTATGTAAAAGAAAAGAGAGAAAGATTGATGATATCAATACAGTGAATTTGATATGCATGTACTAATTGCAGTAGAAGGTGAGAGGCAATAGAATATCATGCTCGCCATGTAATTTTAATCGAGATTTATATATATATATATATGTGCATAATGATTAAAATTGTCTTAGTTTTTGTATTTTAATATGCATACAACAAGAAAAAAAAAGAAGATGATTGACAGTTAAATTGTTATTTTAATATATTACATAGTACCCTTTTTATTTTTTTAATCTTTGAACATCAAAAAACTTCAAACATTATTCAGTTATATGTCAATAAGATAATCAGTTGATGCCATATTTTTTTCTGATGTCCTTTTAATTCTTTCACATACCGAGAGTCCATTAAGCAGTGCA